AAAGGATCATCAAAGTGAATCAGCTGATCAGCAAACTCAACCAACTGAAGAGTCTGTAGAAATTCGCGAACCATCTCAAACAGATCAGTCGACTAATGTAAAAAGAGATCCTCCTTCAACCACACCAAATGAATGGAAAAGCGAACCTGGATATCCCACAAATTTATTATAGGATATCCACAGAAAGGAATCACTACAAGAAGATCTCAGAAGAACTAATCTCATGTGGCTCTTATTTCTCAACTTGAGCCAAAGAAAGTGGATGAAGCTCTGAAAGATGCTCATTGGATAAGTGCTATGAAAGAGGAACTAGATTAATTTCAAAGAAACAAAGTATGGGAATTGGTTCCAAGACCTTCAAACTCTTTAATCATTGGAACTAAATGGATATTCAGAAACAAATTGATTGAATCTGGTCAAGTGGTTCGAAATAAAGCAAGATTAGTTGCTCAAGGATACTCCCAGCAAGAAGGAATCGACTATGACGAAACCTTTGCCCCTGTGGCAAGACTTGAATCCATTCGGATATTACTTTCTTTTGCTGCTCACAAAGGTTTCAAGTTGTTTCAAATGGATGCTAAAAGTGTGCTCCTAAATGGCTACAGCTCTGAAGAAGTATATGTAAAGAAACCACCAGGATTTGCAAACGTCACCTTTCCTGATCATGTATACAAGCTGACTAAAGCTTTGTATGGTCTCAAACAAGCTCCGCGTTCCTGGTATGAAAGGTTAAGTTCTTCTCTCTTAAATCAAGGGTTCAAACGAGGTAATATCGATACAACCCTTTATTAAGCATTCTAGTTCAGGTAATCTTATTATTCAAATTTATGTTGATGACATTATTTTTGGTAGTCCTAACTCTGCTTTATGTGAAGATTTTGCTCAATCCATGAAAGGAGAATTTGGAATGAGCATGATGGGAGAACTGACATTCTTTCTCGGACTTCAAATCAAACAGTCTCCTAAAGGAATTTTCATTAGCCAAACCAAGTACACTAAGGAGCTTATCAAAAAGTTTGGAATGAAAAATGCAAAGTCAATCGACACTCCAATGAGTCCAACAAAGACACTCGATGAAGACAACAATGGAAAAAAGGTTGATGAAACCATTTATAGAGGGACGACTGGATCCCTATTGTATCTCACTGCTAGTCGACCGGATATTATGTTCAGCGTATGCAAGTGTGCAAGATTTTAGTCGGCTCTAAGGAATCCCATGTCACTGCTGTTAAATGAATTATTGGATATCTAATTGGTACTTCTGATCTAGGATTACGGTATTATCATTCTAACAATTTTGCATTGAAAGTTTTTTCAGATGCAGATTTTATAGGTGACAAGATTGATAGAAAAAGCACTAGTGGCACGTGTCAACTCTTGGGAAATGCATTAGTATCTTGGCATAGCAAGAAACAAAATTGTGTTGCCCTATCAACGACTGAAGCAGAATACTTAGCTGTCGGAAGCTGTTGTACACAAGTTCTATGGATTATGCATCAACTTCGCGACTATGATTTATCTCTTACCTCTACTCCTATATTTTGTGATAATACCAGTGCTATTTGCTTATCAAGAAATTTTGTACATCATTCTACAGCAAAGCATATGAAAAATAAGCATCATTTTATCCGAGATCATGTTGCTAAAGGTGATATTATATTAGAATTTATTAGTACTGATTCTCAACTTGCCGATATTTTTACAAAACCACTTTTGGAAGAAAGATTCTGTTTTCTCAAGAAAAAGATTGGCATTTTGCCAAATTTGTAAATCAAATCTTTTTTGCCGTGTTTTAAAATATTTTATTTCCTTAAGTATGTGTGGTTTAATCAATTTTTGTATAGGTGTAATAATTGCTTCTTCATCAATGTCGCCGATCAGTCACTTCAGAAGCATCACTTCCTTCTGAACCCGCCTTTTTCTTTAACCAAGGCGACCCTTCATTACTCCAAAAGCATCGATAAAACCCCTCCCATCTATGTTACTCACTTCATTCTTATCAAACAAACCCTCTCACCATGGCCAAAAGAAATTCCTCTTCCTCCACTGCAACCAGACGAAGCCGAAGGTTTCAAAAACCCCTTAACCCTAAAGAACCTGTAGATTTGGATTCATCTATTGACTAAGATTTTCTCAAAACGGACAATAAGAGTAGTGAATCCTCCGAAAATCCTCCCATCAATCAGAAAAAGGCAGGAAAAAGGCCCATGGAGCAAACCCCTAAAAAGGTTGCATGCAAGAAAGGAAAGGTAGAGAACACTGAATTCGGACCTGAGGACAAGTTGATCTTTCATGGCCCGAGTGAAAAAGCAAGGTTTGAGTCCTACAAGTCAAAATCTATGGCTTATGGACGCTCTGTACGTCTTTCTCTCGTGAAAATTTGCACTGTGATGTGACCTATATATTTGATTTTCAGCATCTTTCTTTTCTGTTCAACACTGTTGGTAACTCTGTCTTTGAGGAACCTGTGAGGATGTTTTATGCAAACCTTTTTGTGAATGACAAAGATGACCTGGAATCTATGTTGTTAGGAACTAGAATTGTTCTGGACTCTTATCAATTTGAAAAGATTTTCTCTGTTAAGTTCAGTGGGTTTGATGTTTTTGTGCAAAATTCTTGGCCAAAAGATTTTGAAGTATCCTTTGAAGAAGCCAAAGTCTTTTTAACTAATAACCCCCATGATATTGGCCCCAAGAATCTAAAGTTTGAACACCGTGTCTTGGCCCACATGATTGCTACCACTTTACTCCCCAGAACCGGGTCCCTTAGTTCTTTATCCACTAGAGATGTTTTTGTCCTTTACTGTCTTGTTAATAATAAAAGACTGGATTGGTTTGTGTGGATTCGCCAATATATGCTTGAAAGTATTTGGTACATATCTTCCTCTGCTGCTTGTTTACCATATGGTCTACTCATCCCACACATCTTTGAAGTTATGAAGGTAGATTTGGCACCCTTTGCACCCAAGCACATTACCGGCACTTATGATAAGACAACTTTTTCAATGATGGGGTACACCTTGGGTGATGATGGATGGGTTAAACGCGCCAAAGTTGACAGTATTCCAGTGCCAGTTGAAGTTCAAACTGAACAACCAGAATCTCAATCGACTGCCTCTCAAAATCTTCAGCCAATGCAGAAATATTTGGATGAGGTGAAACAACTTGTGGTTGAGATGAAGGAACGGGTGGAGAAAATCAGGGAAGTCACTAAAGAAACAGGTACAGATGTGGCTAAGCTCAGAATGGATATAGGAGCTACGCAGAGACAAGGAACCATGGCTTTCATCTATGACTGAAAAAATGGATAAGCTTGTCAAAGATGTCAAGAATTCCTATGACTCCTTCTGAACCAAAGTGATCAACACCCTCAAGTACTTCCTGGGAAAAAACTAATGTGTATTCGTGTGATGGGTTCTAAACAATATTTTCTATTTTCCTATTTTTTGCTTGCTTGCTAGTAGTCCTTATAAACTTTCTTTTGCTTGGGTATGTATAACCTATGCCTCTGCTGAAGGCATTACGTTTGTTGCACTAGTTATTATATATATTACTTCCTATATTACTTTTTCTTGTGTTTGTTTTCTTTCCCTTTTTTGATTGATGTCAAAGGGGGAGAACAGGTAAGAGAAGTAAACGGGTTGAGAAGTAATTCAATTTCTCAGGGGGATCAAGCATCAAGTCAGCGGGAGCAACCTCTTAGGGTAAATTCAACCTCTTAGGGGGAGCAAGCATCAAGTCAGGAGGAGCAACCTTGGAATTGAAATCAAAAGGGAAGTTTCATAATTAATGTTTATAGTCTTTCTTAATGTTTATTCTCTCTTGATTGTCATCATCAAAAAGGGGGAGATTGTTAAGTTAAATTCCAAGGTTTCAATGATGACAATGTTCAATTATTCTATTTCGCATGAATCATCAAAAGGAAAGAAAAGCAATGAGAAGCTATCTAAAGATGTGATTGCTAAATCAATAGACCTATAGAAGGAATCAAAAGCCTGCAGATCTACTCAGCCTCAATCAAGGAAATCAGATTACCAATCAAGAAGTTATTGCCATATTCAGTTTCCTTGATCAAAGCTCAGTCAAAGGATTGATTGTCTCGTAAATGAAAGCTGTGACAAGGAAACTCGCGATCGAATTCGGTCTTTCCTAAAGAGCAGGATTCGAAGAGACATCCCTTGGGTCAAATCCTTTTAAAGATCTCGTGCCTCTATTTCTGGTCAAGACTCAACGGCTCTTTTCCTCTCCTATAAGAAGGCTGCTAAGTTCAATTGGAAGACTTGCGCAACTACACACATTATTTTCTAAGTCTCTCTACTTCTTAGCCTAAACACTGTAATCTGAAGTTTATCAGTGTGTCGAAAGATAGGAAGAGTTAGAACACAAAAGAGAGTTGTGTCATTATTAGAGATTCGTTGTTGCTGTACTTCGTTGGTGGTGAACGAATCAAAACCATCCATGTTGTAATACTTTCAAGATATAAAAGGAACCCTTGTGACCTAAGGGAAGCTGGATGTAAGTACCATACCGGTACCGAACCAGTATAAAATTGTTGTGTGTCATTCTCTTTTTGTTTACTGTTATCTTACTTCTGCTCTCGATCTAGTCAACTAAAATCATCGTTAGTCGACTAATTTTTAATAGACCACAATTCATCCCCCCCCCCCCCCCCACTTGTACTTTCAGATGTCTATCTCATTCGGTCTCAATCACTATCGGTCTCGCTCTTGACAGGTACCTTGAATCTTCGAACTTGGTACCTTGTCCTCGTACCTCGGTCTGATCTATTACGGGATTGATCTTCGATCCTTCACACCGGTCTCGATAAATCAGTAAAATTGATTGGCCCGATTTTGACCGTATACATAAATCTTTTTAATTCTTATGTTTTTTAATATGGAGATCTAGCTAAGCTAATTTTAAACTCTTTATATGTGAAGTCTCGTTAAAAGAGAGTAAAGAAAATGGAGTTTTTGGCTTCAAGATAGACCGTACGTGAAACTTCTAAATATAACAAAAGAGTGATAAAAACATCTTCTTCAGTTGGGTATTTTAACGACAAATGACTCGAACCGTAGGAAAATGACAAATCTATCAAAAATGATATCTAATGGTCCAAATTTTGTAATGATCCTCCGCAGATCAATTCATTTACGCTTCAAAGCGACAAATAATTGGCATTGTTTCTCGTAGTTAGCTTTCATCCATGCAGAGATGTCTTCACTTTTGAGAATAGTCCTTGCAAAAGCTTCATCTGCGATTTTACTTCCAAAGTGACTGATAAAAACACCTTCCAAAACAGCCCTTAGGTTTGACATTAAACTCTTTGCATCAGCTTCATCCACAAGCTTTGATTGGGGATATGTCAATTCTATTCTCTCGATGCTAAAACAGCCATTTCTCTCCACCACTTTAGTCATGTCTTCAGGAGAGGGAAAATACACTGGCACATTGAATGCGTCAACTAGAGATTCATCTACCATTCCCTGTATATATGTCAGAAACATAGAAAACTCAATTCCAAATATACAGCTTAAACTTATTGAATTAATAAGTGATTAGCTAGTTGCACATGTAGTGCACGTGAGGATAAAGCCTGTATCAGTCTATAAAAGGCTGTCATTATACATTTTGAATATTCCATTAATTGAGCATTGGAGCTCCATCTCTGTGTCAATTTCTTCAAAACTAACTAGTTTTTCATGAGTTTCACATATCCATTCACATTTCTCTCTCATCATAAAAAGTTCATTTTATATGAAATAGGTAACAATAATTAAATCTAGCTAAAATGGGAATGATAAAAGTAGATAGTTTTCAAATATGAAAATTAATGTGACTCTTTGAGACATAAAAAAGAAAATGTGTCAGCATAAAATGGAATGGAGAGAGTATCAGATATCAATCTTTGCAAAACCATGGAGTACATAATATACCTCATTGACCATATCAATAAGACTTGATCCGAAAAATTTGAGGAGACGATAACCTGAAAATGGCGAAACTAGGACCATTATTCCTCCACGAACAATCTCCTCAGCTCTTGCATTCAAGAACACTTCCATATCCTTGTCGAACTGAGAAACATAAGCGTTAACTACTGCAATATTTGCGGCATCTACATAGTGAATCAATCCCTTATTCCACGCTGGGGATTTCTCATCTAATAACTCTTCTGGCAACTTAGATAACCAATGGATAGCAGAAGATGAATGTGCAAAATGGATCGATCCTGAGGGAAATAACCTGCCGTGGAAAGACCCTGGAACTCCTGATGCAAAATAAGACCTATCGGCAGGTAGGGATCGAAAGAGGGTATTGAAATCATTGGTGATATGATCGTTGAAGAATACTTGGAATTCAGGAACAATATTAATGGAATCTGTACTGAATTGGTCCTTTACAGCTTGTATAATATGTTGCATAGCTGAGAAAGTGTTCGGTCCAACTGAACATCCCAAGTCTACAATACGAAATGTGTTTATTGAAGCTGTAAACAGGCTTTTGATGTCAAGCTTTTCAGCAATTGCATCTCTTATCATCTTTTTAGCACCATCTAACACTTCTTTCTGCAGTTGAAAAACACACATAAGTTTGACTAAGAATTTGCAGCTTTATCATGCATGCTAATTCACCAACATCTAATATCTAAAATTCATGTGAGCAATTTGTTATGTAATGTTTTTGTTGATGTGGATGTGCGGGCACACTAGGATGGATAAGATTAGGAATGAAGATATTCGGGAGAAGGTGGGCGTGGCTCCATTGATGACAAGATGCGGGAAGCGAGACTCAAATGGTTCGGACGCGTACAAAGTAGAAGCCCAGATGCTCCGGTAAGGAGGTGTGAGTGGCTGGTTTTGGAGGGCACGAGAAGAGGTAGAGGACGGCCTAAGAAGTCTTGGGGAGAGGTGATCAGGAAGGACATGGCTATGACCCTTGATAGGAAGCCATGGAGGTCGAGTATTAGGGTTGTAAGTTAGGAGATAGTTGAGTCTTTCCTTGCTTCGTACCTTTGTGAGGCTAGTCTGGTAGGGTTTTTGTCGAAGTCACCTAGTGGCAATGTTGTGTCTTACTACTCTTTCATTTTTCATAGCACCGGGTGTATGTGCTATCTATCAGTTTTGCTTTGCATCTACTTTCTCATTTTCATAATGTTATTTTCCTATGTTTTCTATTGGTGGTACTGTATATTNTTTTGTTGGTAAATATACTCGAATTACAAGAATCTATATTAAACACTAGGAGTAGTATTAGATACCACTGACGACTTTTAAATATATAGAACTAATTAATTACAGGTTTTCAACTCGAAGGTCACTGCCCTTCAAGTAGATCTCAAATTCAAGCTTATAGATCTAAAGAAAACTGCCTAGCTTTCCTTAATAACAGATATATATATATATATATATACAGTCAAATTGCTTAGGCAGTTGTCTAGCTATATGATATATATATATATATATATAGTCAAATTGCTTAGGCAGTTGTCTAGCTATATGTGAAAAAGAATACGTTCACATGCATGACTAAAAATTCTTATTAGTTACAAAGCTATGTATGTTTTAAACACTGGATTCCAGATATTTTTCGTTCCATGTTTTTCAGAACAGTTAAGCTAAGCTAGAAATTAAATATAATACCTGCAATTGGGAGTTTCTGGAGTAGCTGTTGGCACCATCACCAGCATTCATTGGGAAATAATATCTTTGCATTTTGTCTAAAGCTTGATACTTTCTCTTCATTATAAGCTTTCCTTTTTCTCTCCCACAGTTGTTGCTCATATATATAAATGTGGATAGAGTGAGTGGGACACAGATTCCCTTTTTGCAAAGCAACAACTCTAAGTTGACTGCTGCCAATAATAATTTTATTTTATTATTTCAATATGCTAAGTTAATTGGGGGAGTTTCCACAAAAATATGTACTGTATTTTGGTTGGAAGGCTGGCCACGACGTAATTCTCCCGTTGTTATGGTCTATGGAGAAAGAAAGGCAACGTAACCTACCTTTCTTCATTCCTTTTCAGTGGAGAAGCGTAGAAATTAATCATCAATATGACAATATATAATATTTTAAAGCAACAGTACCCCAGATTTCAGTGGCAATTCCCCAGCAAAACATTATCCTACAATCACTGGCAATATTATAATACCCCAACTACATATATACAAAGTAGCTAGGGCACACAATCAAGTTATTAAATGTCTCTTTTTATAACATTTTTGCATTTGTCGTTCTCAGGTCCATGTTTCATGATCCTACAACGGTTTTTATTTTTCCTTGTTTATTCTTCAAAAATATTGGCCGTAGACTGTATATTTTTCTCTTACACAAGGTTTATCCAGTGGGAACTAAGAGAATAGACGCTAACGATTCTTCACTATGTGCTAATCCCAGTATGGATTCCGAATTTAAATTTAATAATGAGTTCACCTTTTAAGATTTTTAGTATTGAACTTATTGTACTGTTAAAATCATGGGTTCAAATCTAATACTTAATGATAATTTAGTAATTCTTTACATTTAAATCTATCCCCAAGTCGAAAGTTATGGATTCAGTTGAACTCATATCCAAAAGTCTACATTTTCCCCTATAACTACTGTCATTGGACTGTCAGGTTCATCTGAATCCAATACTTCTAATGTGGAGCATAAATTTATAGGCAAAAATCTACTAATATTGGAATAAATACTAAATATGAACCCATAATTTAAGAATATAATGAGTTCAATGCAAAAACCTTAAAGATCGCATAAAATTTAAATTTTGGATCTGTCTCTATATACTGCTCCGTCTCCATACCTTTTTTGGAGAATTCTTTTGGATGCTTCCTTTAATTTAACCGTGTTTATGTCACTATGAATGTCTTGTCATAACTTTGTCACTACTTCGTCGAGGTTAGACTCAGCACTTACGGAGTACGTGGGGTCGGTTGTACTCATATTACACTTCTATACTTCTTATGTAGATTCCGGTGTTGGTCCTAGAGACGCATAGAGGAGATTGCTCGGATCAGATCTATCTAGGAGACTTGGGGTAGATCAGTATTGCACGACGTTCGCAGTACCTGGAGTCCCTTTCCTATCTTGTTTTACTATTTATCTTGTTTCACTGTTTATCTTGTTTCGAATAGTTGTATTTCATTTCAGCCTATATTTGTTGTATTCTATTCGCTTACGTACTTATGACTTCGAATTTTTGGGATTAGTATAGTCAGCGTTACTTATGGATTTATTATACGAATATAGAGTATTTCAATCTTTAATTCTTAATATCTTACTTTTAAATTGTTAAACTGATTAGTTTTTTAGCTAATTTTGGCAAGCGGATGTTAGGCACCATCATAATCCCGTGATTGAGATTTTGGGTCGTGACATTTGTCAAATGTTCCATCCAAATCATTACACACTACTTGTGCACTCGAAGCATACATAATACCACCAAGATCAAGTCCACTAGATACTAAATTCATAAGCCAAGACAATACAATTTCAGTTACTAATTCCACATATTCTCTAGAAACTTTCTTTAGTACAAGTTCCATCAACCATCCCTAATTTGTTTCTTCATAACAGAGCCACTCTCGTAGATCTATACCAAAGTAAATAGTTTTCAATGTCTATTAGCTGAAATTAGATAATCTGAATTTCGCTGACATCCGATGGACTCAGAAATAATAGATGATTGTAATCTATGCCCAGTGCTGAATTTGGTGTGACGCCTTGACTAGAACTTAAAGGTTGGATCACTACTGGAATCATTTGTTCTTCAATGGCCATTGTCAAGATTCTTCAAGAGATTGATGAAATTGAAACATTTGCTTTGAGATTTGCGGAATCGTAAGATCGAGTTCAAGCTAGGATGTCCAGCTTGACTGCTGTGATACCATGAACTGATTAATGGGTATGAACCCTAATATTGAAGAAGATACAGAAGAGCAGAAATAAGAGAGACGTAGAGAAAGAGAAGAAAATAATTGTATTAACTCTCATATGTTGGTTTGTCCATTATACTGTACATATAGAAATGAGCTTAAGAGAAATAAACCAACTTCAACTAACTAATCTATCGGTTATACACTATAACTACAAGATACAATGAAAAGACTATACTACCCTTCACTAATTATGTTACACCTTTTGCAACAATATATTAGTATATAATTACATGATGACTCAAATATTATTAGAATACGGTAAGTTGATCACAAAGTAAATAATAACATTGTTTACACTTTCGGATAACAATTAAATTTGTAAGTGGTTTTAAGGATACGTGAATTTATTCAATACAAACAGTAAAAATTGCTAGAATAAACAGATAAAAGATACAATAAATTATGAAACCGCTTGAAAATAAAGGGGGATGATTCTGGACTCGTGTGCAACCTCAATAATGTATATGTCTTCGATCTCGGGCTTATAATAATGAAACACTGATCTACTACGTAAGAACTTTGAATGACAGAAAAATAATACTCCCTCCATTCCAATTTATGTGAACCTGTTTGACTGAGCACGGAGTTTAAAAAAATGAAGACTTTTGAAATTTATGGGCATAAACAAGTCAAAAAGGAGCCTAGAGTATTTGTATGGTTATAAAAGCTTCTCATTAAGGGTAGAATTGTAAGTTTAAGCTAAATTGTTACCAAATTTAGAAAGGGATCATTCTTTTTGGAACAGACCAAAAAGGAAATAGGTTCACATCAACTGGAACAAAGTGAGTAGTATATTGCTTTGGTTCGCGTGTTACAATGTGTTTAATGAATAATCAGCCCCTCCCCTTTTATATAGTAAGGGAATCCTACTCTAGGTACAATTTCATAAAAGGTAAAAATCACCCGTTGAACTAGTTACTGAATTTCCACCGGTACGTGCTGAGATCCGTACTGTGATACCCGGTTGGTCACGGATATTACGGCCTTTCGTAATCGTGTTTGATTTCCCAATAATACTCTCTGAAATCTTTTGGGACTTTAACCGATCCTGGGGTCATGGCCCCGATATACTCATGGGCGGGCGTTTGTGCCCCCCGGAGCCTGTCTCGATGAGTCTCTTACCTCGATTCTGGCTCCTTGTCATCACGTCCTTTACTCGATTTATTTTATCGGGAACCGGGTCGGCTTATGGTCCTGTTTCACCCGTATACAGATAGTCCCATCGTTTCTCGGAGAGTAAGTTCTACGGAAACGACGAGGAAAGACATGAGTTCTTCGGTCTCTTCTTTAACACGCTGCGACACAAAATGACAAAGAAACTGAAACGTCCCGTCAGTCACATTATAATGACTCCTAACGCGTGTCACCCGTCAGCAGGCCGTGCCTGAATGCGAAACGGCGTGAAGCCCCTATAAATACCCCTTCCTTTGTTCATTTTTTACTTTCACCAAGCTTCTACCATCTATCTTTTATGAAATTACCATCTTCTCTAATCCCTCAATTTTCTTACCTTCGTTCTTCAAGCTACAACCTTTCTTTTACCCCTCACTTAAGCTAGTGTGCTTGTTTTCATCAACAAGTTCTCACCCTTCATCTCCTCATTCTACTTTGTAGTTTCATACCTTTTTATCCAAATAAAAGAAATGGAAAAGTCTTCAAAGACCGTTCCCCAGAAAGATGCTCCTTCTTCTTTGCAGCCAACCATTGAGGTCGAGGAGACCGCCCCGGGCGCGACCATTAATGTACCGGCAACCGAGCACCCCTTGAAACTGTTCGTCTCCGGGGGTCGGGTTAGGTTCGAATGATGACTNAAAAGAATGACCCCTTTCTAAATTTGGAAGCAATTTAACTTAAACTTACAATTCTACCCTTAATGAGAAGCTTTTATAACCACACAAATACTCTGGGCCCCTTTTTAACTTGTTTAGCACCACAAATTCCAAAAGTCTTCGTTTTTTCTTAAACTCCGTGCCCAGTCAAACATGTTCACATAAATTGGAACGGAGGGATTAGTTGATATGTAGCTATAGCCTTTTTAAATGATTTTAATGCCCACAATACAGCATAAGATATTTGAACAATATACTTCCAGGTTGCTTCTTATTGTCAACTTTTTGTCCTGATTTCTGTAACTTCTAGGCCGAGTTCGACTTTCATGGGGAGGAATGGGAATGGGGTGCTTATAAGACTCAGCGTGTTCTGGCAGCTGGTGCATACAGCAATGATGATGGTTTGCGTCTTGAGAGAATCCCCCTTCCTTTGTTCATTTTTTACTTTCACCAAGCTTCTACCATCTATCTTTTATGAAATTACCATCTTCTCTAATCCCTCAATTTTCTTACCTTCGTTCTTCAAGCTACAACCTTTCTTTTACCCCTCACTTAAGCTAGTGTGCTTGTTTTCATCAACAAGTTCTCACCCTTCATCTCCTCATTCTACTTTGTAGTTTCATACCTTTTTATCCAAATAAAAGAAATGGAAAAGTCTTCAAAGACCGTTCCCCAGAAAGATGCTCCTTCTTCTTTGCAGCCAACCATTGAGGTCGAGGAGACCGCCCCGGGCGCGACCATTAATGTACCGGCAACCGAGCACCCCTTGAAAATGTTCGTCTCCGGGGGGTGGTTAGTCAATGATGACTTTAAGTTGGAAAAATGTTCTTCGGTTTAAGTCCGATGCGAGGCGGTGTCACGGTACATCTGCTCTATTACCGAGGCGGTTCTTCGTGTAGTTCAAAAGGACTACGCCTGGGCTGATAATGATATGGTGATTCCTGGGCCCGATGACGATACCATTACACATGTTGAGGGATATCTGAGTGTTTACACTTATCCTTTACA